AGGGCCTGACCCTGCTCTCAAGGAAGTCAGTAGAATCAAGCCCTTATTCATCATTTTCCTAACAGGATAAGTCAAGAACCCTTAACCATGATCTAGACAGTTCCTATTAAAATCCTCTTGCAAATGTAGGGGCAAGCAGTATATTTAAATTAAGTATTTATATTGTGGGCCCTGTGCCCTGCTCTACAAATGCATCAGTAGACAGAGTCCCTAACCATAAACAGTCAAGATTTTTTTTAAACTGCTTGCTTCCTTACCATCCCATGGAACAATGCATCAACCACACCAATCCAAAGGAAATTGCTGATGGGATGTGCTTAGGGAAACCAGCTGGGTGTGCCATTTTAACATCTTGCAGATACACAATTCTGAATCATTCAGGATTAATTATTTCACACTTAGTGCACTCCTTGCATGTTTAAGAAAAATGTAGAGGAGTAAAATGATTGTGGAACAAAAACATCCCCACCCACCCTTGTCCTGGAAAAAAGCCCAGTGATCTGTGTAGACATCTGAAATCTTCCATATTCACCAAGAGTTAAAGAGGAAAACAAAAGAGGAGGGGGAAAGGAGTTAACTGAACATTAGAATGAGACTTTGAGATTCATAGCTAGCAGGTGCTATTTAAGGAGCAAATACTTTCCTCATGAATTAGGTATGGGAGAAACTTGCTTTTTAGAACTGCTGTATTTTGAAGGAAAGTTTGTAAGGGCAGGTGTTTTAGGCCCTGATCTTGCAACTGGCTCCGCATGGGTGAGTCCCAGTGCCCACACAGAACCCTACTGATATTTGCTAGCAGGCTATGAAGCATTATCCATAAAATGGAACTACTGTTGACAAGATACCTGTGTAAAAGCACACAGTGCTAAGCTATGCTGGCTTGTTCACTTACTCATTTGTAATGGGGCTCTTGTTCCTTTGTAAAAGTTAGCAGGGGTGCACTGTAATACTATTCCTGTTTTACAAATCGGGAAACAGAAACACCGAGGTGTAGTGACTTGCCCAAGATCATACAGAGAGTCAGTAGCAGTACTGGGAATAGGATCACAGCATCCTAGCTCCCCAGGTGTGTGCTTCAACAGGAGAGTGCAGACATAGTGAAAAGGAAACCAGTTGGTAGTCCAGGAGCCCATTTCTCTTCCCCACAGGATACCAGTAACACCCACTGAAGTGAATAAGAATCATTGTTCTCCTGCAAAGCACTAGAGACTGGAGAGAGAGAGTGAGAATCAGGCCCCAGAAGTAGGACTAGCAGGTTTAAGCAGTTTATTGAGAAATAAAAGAAAATAAATATAAGACAAATAAGCTTATCATGAACATCTGAGTCACTCCAAAGGCTTTATAGATCTTGACAGTAACACACCCTCTAAAACAACTTAATAGCTTTTCCTATTTACCACTCCTCCCTCCAATGCTCTAGTAGGGATTACCTTTCTTCTACTTTTGCATAGCTCAGGTAGCTTCCTAGCTTCCTTTGCAGTGGTAGAGGGGAACTGCTACTCTCCCCCTTTGCAGTCATGTGCTTTTGCACCTCATTAGGAACCTGCACCTGCTCCAAATTGCAAGCTGTAGAAAAACTGGCAGTCAAAGGCAGGCTCCCAGCAGGGGAGTGGAATTGTTCACTCTCTTCCACCCACTTGTCTCTTTCAGGTTTGTCTTGCTCTTGCCTGCTCTCAGTGCACTGTTAACATCAGTGCTCTTCAGGGCAGGGCTCTTAAAAGGGTTCTACTCTGACTTGGGGTGAGGGAGTTTGTGTCACCTGGGATTGGGGTCTACTCGCACCCCAACTGACAAAAGGAAAAACCAGTCAGGAATGAGTCAGCTCATGGTACAGAGCAAAGAACAGACCCTGCGACCCCAAGGTGGGTAAATCTGCTTACACAGCACATTTCAACTGAGACTTGCCATAGTGTGTTAAAAAGGGCTTTGAATTTGGCCTCACAGTTACCCCATTGGGGTAAGTAAATTATTATAATCTGTAGTTAATAGAGGGGAAGGCTAAAGAACAGCAGTTAAGTGCCTTGCTTAAGGTCACAGAGCCAGTCAGTGGCAGGACTACGCAAAGAACCCTGGATTCTGAGTCCCAGATTCCTGCTTTAACCACTAAATTGCACTTTGGCCAGGGCATCTTCAGTGTTCCTGTTAATAGCCCATTAGCCCCAGGCACCTGTTCACTGGCACAGAATTATGTATCTGTATTAGATACAATTTAAAATTATTTTACTCGATCTGTTAAGAATATCAAACTGCAGGTCTCTGTAGAAGGATGATGATTAGCTGTGAAGCAATTGTAATGAATTTATAAGCTCACCATCTTAAACACTTGATTACATTAGCAGGACAATATGCTATTGTTCTCTTTGTTGCTATACTGCCCACAACTGCAGTCCTTAGGTGCTCTATCGTCTCTCCATTCAGGTGGTTAATGGGGGAAGAGTTTCCAGTTTTGTGATTCTGATATTATCCTAATGAATTGTTGGTCAAACTACAAGTTAACTTAATCCCTTGTTAATCTTTAAACCGTATTGGTGGAGAGATTTTTGACAGCACTTCAAACAGGCTTTACAAGGGAATTCTATCTTTTTTTTTCCCCCTTGTAAAGGGTAATTATTTTAAATCTGAATCACTACAATGGAATGAGAGAAGAAGTTAGAATGGAAAAAACATATATGGCATGATCCTAACTCAGGTTAAACTCCTGTTAAATTTGCTCTGACTTTGGACTGCAGGATCTAGGAAACTAGAAATGGAGATGCAGAATGTTAGTTCAGGCCCCAGTATAGTGGCATGCGTATAAAATCTGAATAGATCTTGCCAATGCAAAATGCCATCTCCCACTCCAGAGAGAACTTTTTTCTTCATTAAATAGAAAACCTTTTAGGGAGTGCTAACTAGATTACAGGCCATTCATCCATGGGATCAGTACATACATATCACCACTGGATATATCATATAGAAGCACAGTAATGGTATTACATACATTTGCTTATAAATATATCAGAAGCATATTCATCACTTTCAATGTTGTGGTTTGCCCTGTGAACTGTATAGCCTGTTTTCCCATCATCCATGGATCCAGTATATTGGCTAAATAACCTTAATTTCTTTATCCAAGGTATTTAACCAACAACCTCTCCCCCTTTGCTGGCTGAATCAGACTATGTCCAGTGCCTTTCCCAAATGTTTCTCCCCATTGTCATGATCATTCTCAGTTTATTTTCTTTGTTTTGTGTTCTTTAAACCAG